AGGTTTTTCCCTTCATTCTAATTTTCCGTATGATTACATTATCACGTAAAACTTAGCTACCTAGTGAGATACTAAAACGATGGCGGCAAGTACGTTTCATTGTTCAATATCTCTCATGTAACTTTTAGGCTACAGAGTGAATAAATTGTGACGTCGGATATCCGTCTAGTAGCTGTTTACCTACTTTTCATTAGACCAGAGTTTTTTTGTTCCTCTACGTTCCCAGTGGAACATAGAGCTTCAAGTTAGAGCTTTGAAGTTTCGGTAGCAGTGATATTTATTTTTATAGAATGGGTTTGCTAGCCTCATGTCCAGCCTTCCCTCTTTACCAGTCTTACTGCTGGCTTAGCGAGGTAAAGGAGTGCGTCGGTCAGGGATCGTACCCCGAACCACCTGAGGCGTGGTTGGCGAGCATCCTACCTCTGTGCCACCGACGCCGTACACTATGACTATCATTAATATTTATTAGTAAATGCTTCTTTGTACCATCCGTGAGTGTGTGTGTGTCTCCACTGAACATGAATTATTTTATCTAGACCATTACTGTTTCACAAATCCTTCATTTTTTGTCAATTTTACAAAATAAAACAATACTGAACATGTGTTCACACCATCATTTTAAAAGTTAAATATTTCAAATTATACGCCTATTTGTGTTTGCTTTAAGCAGAAGAGTTTGATCATTGTCAATTAGAAAAAACAAATCATCGATCACTGTCTTCAATTTAGAATAATTAGCAAATTTGTTTTCTCTATCTTTTAGCTTAAAATCAAGATGGAAAATGTTAACTGTTCCAATGGGAAAAAAGGAAAGTAAAATTAAAACAAAACGCAAACTCTCAGATATTCACATATTTACAATGGAATGATTGACCTGGAATTTTTACTAGAGAAGAAAGTGTACATAAATGGGTTGATAAAACAATCAGAAATTCACAAATGTGTTTTATTTTTCGCACGCACTGCTGGAAGTTGTCAATCAAAAGAATTGCTTATAGGTCAGAATGTCAACATACCATGTGAAATAAAGCTTTGAACCAGGAAAAAACTTTCACTGTCAAGCTGGACATTTCAATAAATAAACTGTTGGCAGTTATTGTGTATTAATATATAGATTTAGAAGTGAAATATTCCACCATGATATATTTCAACTTACACTAGTAGTCTAAGAAGTCTAATTATGAGTGATTTTTGGGCAATAGTTCAACAGCATTCATTTGATACATTTATTCTCCTTAATGAATTTGAACAAAGCAAGAACTACAGTTTTAGCAGAATAAAATGGTACCATCATTTATTTCGTTGCCTTCTCGTCAGCTGCTTACAGGGCAAAGACATTATTAAATGTATCTACAAAAACAATTTTAACATACTTGCACAGAGTTCATTTTAAACAAAAATCAATCGATCAATATACGCATATACTAATAATATATGCATATATATATGCAATATTAAACACTATTCCGAACAATAATAATCATACACAATGAAAACTTTTCAGCATGTCGCATTCGGATGAAAAATATCCAGTTACCAGGGCAAAGAAAGACTGATAACCGCTTCTTTCTGAACGCATAAGTTAGGTTTCAGGCGCTTGAAGGAAATGGCTTCAGCAAACTTGAGGAGAATTGAGCTCTTCTGCCTATTGATAATTTTGAACGACTTTTCGACGTCCACCTCATGACCCGTGTCAAGGAGATGGCTGGCGATGGCACTGTTTAAAGCATTTGTTCCCTTTAGACGTAAGCTTTTTGGTACATGTTCAGAAAATTGTAGATATGCCCTTCTTTCTGTTCTTCCAATGTAACTGCTCCCGCAGATACATGTAAATTTGTATATACAGTTGGAGTTAACATGAGAAGGATATCTATCGATTTTTGATTGCATCAAAGAGCAGGTTGTTCGATAGACGGGAACGAGCTTAGCTGCAGGATAGGCTATGGCTAGTGATGTGCTCAGCCTTCTGTTAATCATTACTGCAATGTTTTCACCTTTATAATCAAGCTGAAAGCAGATTGACTTTTTTCCCACTGTGATTTGTCTTACATTTGTGACTTCAGATCTTCCATACTTGTTGATGAACCTTTGAGGGTAGTCATCGCTCTTCAATATCTTTTCAAGAAACTCAAATTCTTCCTCTAATTTCTCTATAGATCATATTATCCTCACTCTATAGTACAGAGTCTTGACTAGACCACATTTAAAGTATTTGGAAGCTATTTGGACAAAAGCTATTAAAGTGGAAGTATTGTCCTTTCTATGTGGGCTTTCGATAAATTGACTTTTGAAGACTACCGTCTTCTAGGCGTTCCATGGCGATGTCGAGGAAGTGGAACTTTCCGTCACTTTCATGTTCCATAGTGAACTCAGTATTAGCGTGTGCATCATTGAAATTCATTTGGGCGTAACAGCTTACTTGACTAAGTTATCCAGAGAAAAAAATTAATCGTTACCTTTATCCCCTGACTGGCTAATACAACGAAGAGACTTACTATAGTTTAAGCTTTTGGATTCCTGTTAATGTTTACAGAAATGCTCAAAATTGCTGATTACTAAATTCCACTTACTCTCAGTAGTCATTTCCTTTCATTGGGAGATTTAATATTTTCGCACTTAATTCGGTCATTAGCTAATGAATTACTCTTTGCATATGAAATATGAATTGTCACTGTCACAATAAGTGTTTGCGTATCTGTATGTATTCACAAAAGAAATTTGCTAGAGGTCAATTGACCTAACAGTTGAGAGATAAATACTACCTTGTCGTGTGCAAAAATTAGCATTTATTTAAGCATCTACGTGGACGATATATCGATTGGTAATCGTTACTACCATGTAGGTCAAAGAATTGAACCATTTTACTAGTGGATATTTGACTTCATTTACAGAACTACCTGAATTGTTCTTATTTTTTGTAGGCAGATTAATTGCGTACTTGATGAATTGCTGAAATCGATTTGTCTTTCCAAATCATCACTGATCAGTGTTATTGTAAAAAAGAAAACACCGATAAGGCTCAAACGAAAAAGGCGTTGTAAGTACATAGATTTGCTATACCCTATCTTCAATGCTTTATTTGCACATCATTTACAAACACGTCAAATATCAACACATTTGATAGTTTGTTGTAACGTTTTTCTCACAGTTCTCTTCTTTGATTGCCTTTTCTAGTGTCCAAAACATATTGTTACTTTTCTAAATTCGTTTACTGATATATTACTTATATCTGATTATAAGTAGCATTCACCACATTATTATTTTCTTTCATATGAATATGTCACACAAATTTATGCAGCAAATATCTTGTCAATATTCACTAAACGAGTTGATTTTGATGGTCCACACTACACCGATTCAGTCAATGAATGGGAATACTAGAATATGAACAGAAAGTACAAATATTTACGGGATCATCAATCTAATATCTACGTAGTATGGTAACTCGTACAAGAGGAGTGTAGTATTTAAGTGATTCAGGATACAGTGACTATAAGCAATGGACAGTATAATTCTTTCTACTCAGTTTCAGCCACTAGTAGTTAGATTTCACTGACACTGACCACCAGTTAGCTCATATATAAATTACTTAATATTATTTAATAGTAATAACAATAGTAACAGAAACAGTCGTTTTTACGAGTTTGACGACGGATTGATATCACTTAGAGAACCATTGAAAACCAGGGAGTACTGGACTCTCAAATTGATGTCAATCCGTGGTCAAACTCGTAAAAACAAATCTAATCCTTACAAACCATCTCTTGAAAAGAAACAGTCGTATAAAAACACATTTGTACTCAACAGACAGCGAACAGCGTGTTAGCATAAAATGCTTTAGATCTTTCATGGTAATTCAAAATAACCCACTGTTTAATCAATACTTTAAAACTAGCTGTCATCTGTATTATCGATATGAAACCACTTTTTAATATGAATACCCTAAGAATAATAATCTGAAGCAGTATTGATACATGTAGATAAAACTTTAATTTGTGATTAGAGTTTGACTTACAGAGCTTTACTAGTTATTGGTGAAAGTTTACACACCACTAGTAATGGATGGTTGTCATAATCCAACAGTTGAATAAGTAATTTCCTCAATATCATTTTTCTCACAGTGCTTGTTTTAAATCCCAGTAGCAGCAGTAATGCGTTCACATGATGATGAGTTTATGTAATGAGTTTCAAGTTGAACGAAACAATTAATCCAGGATCCTTTATCTGTCAATATGGTTTATTATTATGCAGGTGATTAGCTTGTCTTTACTAAAACAATGACGATCAGTTGGCTGAAAAAAGATAGGCAGAAAGTATCAGCATTTTAATTTATAATCTGTCATTATTGACTCACACAATCTTTGTCACACAAATTCACTAGCTAAGTTTCTATTGAACTGAAGTTTCAAGCGCAACAGTTTCTCTTTAAAGGAGACTGATTTCGAATTTCCACGTAACTTACTCATTTACATACATATATATACATGCTGGTATGAAACAGTCTTCATCACAAATTCAAAAAGGCAAGTGAACCGTTGAAGTTCAAAGAAAATTTCTCTGAGTCCCACTAATCTCTTAAAAATCAACTATCTTTATACCAATCAATGACTAGCTGCAGGCTAAGTTTTCCAAACTTCTAATAAAAAGCCATAACAAGCAGTCTGATTCAAGTCACCAACCATGTTGGATACTGGTGAATGGTGATAAGCAGTGGAATCCAGGACGAGAATTTCGTCCTATTTGGGACTCATGAGCTGGATGTACCTGAATCGCCCAGTGAGTGATGATGTTCCCACTAAGGCTTGAATCCAGTACATCCAGATGACCAGTCGCAAAAAGGACAAAATGCTCATCCTGGACTCCACTGATAGTCATCAACCACCAATTTACTTCAAGTTAAATAATCGGACATCGTCGGATCATCTGCACTAGGCGCCGATATATCAACCTGTGGTCGAGCACATCGGTCAATCATCAGAAAAGTCCAGATTGAATTAAACATGTTAGATACTGATGATGATGAAGTCACAAATCAATTCAGATCAGAAAATATGTTATTGGATGTATTTCAAGGGGAAATGAGAAGTAAGACTAACTTGGAGTGATTATCGTATGGAATTTCGTGGTATTCACACTGACAAAATATCTCAGTTTTACATAGAACCATAGTCTATATAAGTTTTCCTCTGTGAGTAAATATCACTTAAGTAATTGGTCACCTGATGAAATCACTCCTTCTTTTGTTTACGGAATTAATATTACACAAGTCCTCGAATCTTATAAAATAAACCATTTTAATCTTCACAAATCTACAATACGGGCTTACTTCTCCCATAATCTTAGTAATTAACATTAACAACCACTGATACCTTCAAGCCCAGTATCGATTAGTATTCTAGTAAACAGTAATAAATCTGCATTTGAAAGTAAATCAGTTACATTTATAGTGGAGAATCATTAAAAAGCCATCTGGAGAAGAAAATGTCACTTGTTCTTTCAATTTCTTATGTGTTCAAGTGTACATTTTCACTCCACTTAATACTCTACTTTCAAACTGTCTTAAGAAGTGATTTATGATTATTTCTATCTATGGTTGTCATTTATTGAAGGGTATTAAAATGTGGAGTACTAATAAGCATTTTGTTTACCTTAGACTTCATTAGCTTGACATAACTGTACTTTAATGGGAGATGGCTTTTTCACCTTAAGAACTAGATCTACTAGATCATTTGACAAAACGTCAACCAATAGGTGACTGTGACCTTCGGCTATCACCTCTAACGTAAATAGTGTAAATTTTTACTGCCTGCCCAATAAGAGAATTCCTTGTTCTTTAGTTTGTTGAAATGAATTGACTAATTTATGACAGACTGGCTTCTTGAATAGATGCAACAATTTCTCCCTAAGTAGCACATTAATTTGTGCATCCAGTAACAGTTAGCTTATTACGAAACTATTAGCTATCTATACTGACCTCTGGTGCAAGTTAGCTGAATAAAATCAGCTTGAATCCAAAAAATACTTGTAGGAAGAAGTTGTGAGATAAATCAACAAATCTGATGCTCACTAGTGACTGGCCTTATTCAGGCAGTTAACCTGGGGTTCTAGTGGGAAGCCGTGACCAGTAGGGTATAGCAGGTTGCAGATGAGGCAGTAACTCATCGAAGAAGACATTGCGAAATGGTCGCGCTATGTCGTGAATTGGCAGAAGTTAGAATTCAAGGACCATTGGATTGGGTCCCAGTGGCTCAATGGTCTACGAGCCTGCCTTGTAACCAGAAGGTCCTGGGTTCGAACCGTATCGGTGGGTGCGTACTGTGAAAAGTCCCAAACTAGGACGAAACAGCTGTCCAGTACTCCCAGGTTTTCCAGCGGTTCTCTAACTGGTGTCAACTCATAATGAAATCCTCCATGCAATCAAACAAAATCCCTACAAAACCAATACTTGAAAATCAACAATTCATAGAAGAAAATACCTATTTATACTTATGTAAATGCTAAACCTATATCAGCTGGCTATTTGTCAATCTAGAGGTAAGCACTTCTGCTTAACGTTTTGATAGTAGACTAGAAATGGTTTCATTTCACATTTGAATGTATATTCAACTTCCAGAACCATTCAGGCGTCTTTATGTAAGCTGTGTGACTCCCAGTCAACATCAACTTCCACCAGTCTTCTGGTTTTGCATATAGATTCTTTTACCCACTCCATCAGGAGTGGCTTAATTGCACATTGCCGCTAACTGTAGCGTCGTAGTCCATTGCTATGGTGGTTTAATGATAAGACGTTTTGGACGTCTTAGTCAACTGAACAACCACAGGAAAATTAGAAACTCAAGTTTGTAGAAAATCAACTCACACAGACCAAATACTCAAATACAACAGCAACAATCCAATAACACACAAAAGAGTTGTATACAAACACTATTCAAGAGAGCCAGGACTCATTGCAGCACTCCCACTTTAAGGAAAATTGAAGAAAGATATCTCATGGATGTCTACCAAAAGAATGGATATCCACGGAGCTTCATCAAAAGACATCTACTCCCAAGCCAACCTACGAGATCAAAGGCCCCCAAAGAAAGCACAAAGAAAATTGCCCTACCATATACAAAGGACATCTCAGAAATCGCTGCAAGAATCTTCAAACCTTTAGGAAATGATGTCACACACAAACCAACAAAATCACTTCACTCAGTTTTATGTCAACCAAAAGATTCAACAACGAAAGAAGATAAAACCAACATCATCTACAAAATAAGTTGCAACGACTGCTAAAAACACTACATTAGCCAAAGTGGATGTCCTCTTCGTCTTCGTATCCATGAACATAAACTAGCCGTCAAAAGACATGACATCCACTCCCTCATATCGCTACATACAGACAACCACGGACGTCAATTCGACTGGGACAACGTTCAAATATTAGACCGAGGAAACACCAAGAATGCTAGAGAATTTTTAGAAGCCTGGTATTCCAGTGAATCGTCAATCAATAGACACATCGAGACAGACAAAATTTACCAACCGATAAGAAGGAAATCTCACACACAAAGGGTCAAAGTTCAAGTGAAGGAAACAATCAGTACCAATACAAGTAGCCTAGAGGGTGTGAAAACAGACAATCACGTTCAAGGTCACCAGGAGAGATGACTAATAAACTCGTGGAGAAATCTAAAAGCTCACTTCAAATTGAAGTATGCGCTGAAGATGTTGCCTAGTAGGGCAGTGAAAGCTTCGTAAATAAACTATCCAGCTCAGAGAACACAACTAAGCCAAAAAGAGTTTTGCATTTTGATCTCAAAATCCAAAACAAAATAGCTGAACGAGGCTGGAAAATCTATCCAACTAGATTCTATATGGAATGATTACTTAGTTTAAGTAAGATGAAAGCGTCTTGAAATGTTAAAAATTATGACTATTTGTCACCTCTTGAGCTTTGAAAGTTTTGCTGATCCTCACTTAGAAGATCTTTGTTGTCTCTCTTTTGTCTTGATTTATTGTAACAGGATTCTACCTCTAAGGAACTTCTTCACCTGTGAATTTAAAGTGGCATTACTATTAAATACTCAACATTTTGTCCCTCTAGTTTGTTTTAAAACATCTAGTTAATCGTAGCTATAAATTATCATAGAACTTTCGGTAATTACTGACCATTATTACTTTTAATCTGTGTCTAAGACGTGAATTAAATCGGACGCCTCATATCATGGATTTATTGCAAGGAAAATATGATGAAAATATGACTGGACAACTATGCTTCTTTTTAAAACACTGGATATAATTCTTGCACATATTCCCAGGTGTACTCTACAGTGAACACTAAACTGTAGGTTTTGTTGGTTCCATCAAATGAAAGAATCCTGCCCTTTACTTTATTATTCAACTTAAAACATTAATACAAAATGTTATTTTTTTAAATATTTTTATATCAGGGAAATCATAGCTGAGGTGGAGATTGGACAAGTTATGCTGAAATTCTATTGGATACATTGATTAACAAATCGAATTGAAGAACTTTGATAGCCTATAAAATTAAATTCCAAAGATAGAATCATAAGTTGTCTTTTCCTTATTGTCATGAATAATAATTAGGAGAAATATTGTTTGTTTAAGTATAAATAGGGAATTTTTCATTTAATTACTACACTACAATGTGTTTTACATTCATATCAAGAAAATATGAACTCTAAACATGGTGACATGTACACTTTCAAAGCATGATTTAAATATCCTCATGCATCCAGCGACTAATAATAATAATAATAATCAATTCCTTCTTTAAGAACAGTGTATGATACAAATTTAGATGAAGATGATTATGATGGTGATGAAGCTGATGAAGATGAAGGCGAATTTCATAATATCGAAGAAGAAGAAGAGGGTTTAGATGACACCAGTTCTTTATCGAAAGATAAGCGTAAACAACTTGAACAATTCAATTATAAAGAGTCTACCTCAGACACAACATCTTCATTATCTTTTCTAAGTCGACGTATAACTCGAAAGTATGCAAGTGAATTTATTCTACCCGATGATACACGTGTAGCTGTTAGTCGTCTTGAAGGTATTTATCCAATGGATAATAATGAACAAGTTATATTAAGTCTATCAGTTGGTCATAAAAACATTTACACAGGTCAGTATGCCACAAATGATTATCCGTCAACACCAACACAACCTTCTAGTTCAAATTATTGTAATAATAATCAGTTCTCCTCGAGTAGTTTAGAGAAAATTAGTACACCAACTATGAATGTGAATAACAAGTCTGGTTTAAATCATACTAATACTATTGATGACAATTCAGATTCTTTAGAAAGAAAATCACAAAAACGCAACAGTGAAGTAAGTTAAGCCTTCTTTTAAGAATGAAATTTTTTATTTATTGTTGTAAAATCATTCTTATCAATAACTAAGATGTCTGAGAAACAATATGCTGATGAACTACTAAATTACGAGTATGAGTTCTTCTTTCCTTTTCAGTTGTTGTCAGACGTAATAAGCTTCTAAGGTACCTTGAGGAGTCTTCAGGCTTACATTTTAATTGGCCTTTCAAGAATATACTCCAAATAAACCGTGATTTGAAGTAGGAATACAATGTTCATACACCAAAGATTTCTAAGGTGAAATCTAGATTGAAAAGCTTCCAAGAGTGAACAAAACCATATGACTTATTTACTGGGTTAAATACTTTTTTATTATCGTTATTTAGTTTCAGTATGTTACCAGTTAGTCTCACTTTAGGAACGCTTGGGTTTACGAACATGTCCAGCTGACAACTTCTGAAATAAACATGAACTAGTCCAGGTTCAAATTCTACTGGCCGCTTCCAGTATAATGATACTGAATCCAGTTTGGCAACTGAATTTTCAAGTTAGAAGACTGAAGATTAAACAATACTGTGGAGTTGAGCTCAATTAATACTGTGGCAGAAAATCATCGTCAACTAGAGAGTCTGCTTAAAGCTTTTTTTCGAGTAATATTTAGGATGATAGGATGCAGCTGTAATGCAGCAGAGACTAATTTTATGTTGAGAACTAGACATGTTACTGCACGAATCAACGAAAATAAAATCTCTTTAAACGTTCACCCTATACAGCAGTTTAACTAAACTACAGCTTAGTTCTCACCGTTGACTGAAGTTCTAATCAGAGATTATAACCATTGGAAAAAGTCAGTTAATATTTGAGAAAGGTTGATCACTGACAATGATGACAACTAAATAGACTCATTTTGACTTATTTAGAGAATAGCAAATATCTGGTTTCATTCCTGAAGAAAATTGTTTTCATATAGAACTAAAATAAGTATCCAGTTCTCCTTGATTTCCAGTGATCTTTTCCTTCAAGCGATAATAACAGCAACAATGACGACTTTGATCAGGACAAAATGTTTCCAAACTTTACAGGATTCCCAGTGAATTTTATTGCGCAATATTTACCCTTCGTAGAGGATCTTCGTGTAGAATAGCAATCGACAGTATGACATAATGATGTTCGATTTGAAGCAAACTCCAGCTCCTTATGATATTCTCCTCCATCTCTTTCGAGAAATGCATAGGACTAGGTTGAAAGCCAATTTAAAAAACTGCGCGGGTACACTTTGCGACCCAAGCACATAACTGAAGGATTAAAATAATCAGAAATGGAGAGAATTTAATGCATTATGTTGGGTGGAAATTTGGGAAGCTCAGTGATTTAAACAGGTTGCCTTTGGTCACTTAATAAGGGACTTAACTGAGAGATGGTATATCTTATTCAGGGAATCTGTACTTCAGTAATTCAATTGTGGAATGCATGCAGACCATGCATGTGGTCCGGGTTCGATTCTTGGCCGACGCTCTTCTAATCCTCGCATAGCCGGTAACAAGTAAGGTGATAAGGGAAGGTTGGGTGTGAGGCTAGCGACGCTACCGAAACTTCTCCAATTTTAGGCATTTTATTCAGTATGATAAGTGTATCATACTTATTATATCATTAAAATCACACAGGTTTAAGCGAATATGTGTGCATTGGTATTAAAATTTCGCTAGGGTCTGCCTTACAATACATTATTCTGCATAAATAAACATGTGAACATTCAATGATTAAACACTCTTGAAGACTGACAATTTCCTGTTTATAAAACGCTTGATCTCACCGAATGTCTGAGTAGTTGTCAGGTGATAGAAATTAGTAGGTGTATGGTGACATCGATTATAGTTGTTAGCTGATGACTGAAAGTAATTACTGTAAAAACTTAAAAGTTGTCATAATAATTAATAATTTCTGGAAAAGCTACAAGTAGAAAATATAAAATTACCGAAAAGGTATGCATAACTCAGTATATCACATGTTAATAAACAGTGTTATAAACCGACTATGGAGAACACTTAGAAATGCATTTACTTCACCATCCATGAGAATGTATATATTTACAGAAGAATTCAACGAGGTGATCATCTGAGTACCGTTTTAAAATGTTTGAAGGAATGTTTGTCAGAATAGTGACAGGGTAGTAAAAAATTTATGATTTCTATTTATTTCATTCACTCTCGCATGTTAACACTGCTTTGCTGACATGTATTAACTCTTAGTTCATTAATGTACCTATAATTGGGACTGTTGATATTCTTTGTGATTACATGTCACCTAGTAATTTTTTATCCTATATTTCCCAAATATATTTCAAAAATTTAACTGTCAGTATTCATTTCAATTTTGTTCGACAAGTGACTGGTGCTGCTAAGAGGAGTTCAGTACGATGTACATCTTACACTGAAAATCTGGCTAGTGATTCGATCGCTTTTTATAGAAGATGTGTTGATGACTTCGTTATAACACCTCATAAACATGAAGATGTGACTTGTCTAATAGATAGACGTAACTCTGTACAAAAGCATATCGGCCTCACTTGTGAGGGAGATAGGTGCAACCAACTTGCATTCCCAGACATAATTGTGAGTTGAAGACAGCCTAATTCAGTCAAGCAAGATATATACAGAAAGCTTACTTGAACTGGGCAATTTTAAGTTTTCACAATTTCTTTCCATTATAGTCGTACAATAGTATAATAGCACAAGAGAAGCTTGGTTAAATGCTTATCTTACCGGATTCAGGATATCTGCACAGCTGATGTAGTAGATGATGACAGTAAAATATTGAATGATACACCTGACAAAAACAGATATCCTCTAAAGATTTTATACCTGTGTAGAGCCTACAATTTACTCTGTTCCTAAGTGGGGTATTTATATAAATTTACTATATAATAGGAAAACAATGGCATGATTTTAAGACAGACTAAATTCTGTCATTGTTACAGCTTAGTATGCATCAGGGCTTATAATTAATAAAAAATGCTAAAAGCGAACACACAGAGGGAGGAGTAGTCACATCTTGCACATGGTGGTAGGATAACCTTTACACAAATGGCTTGGAAAATAATTTAACTGTGAAACCCTGATGAACTCACCTGCAGACTATCACCTTCGTCTATAGAAAAACAATTGATATGAATCATAAGACTGATATAAAACAGCTCTCAGGATTACGTACTGAAATAGGCTGAGGCGATAGATATATGAAGCGAAGTGACAAGTAAATGTGTGTATGATCAGATTGTTCGAAATGTATCGGGCAAATAAATCACACCATTCAGATAAACTTCGTGTTCTAATAAAGTCAACCGAATTCGCTAAATGGAATCACCGTTTTTAAATTTATCTCAGTATTTTATTTACGTTCCTATTAACCTATGTGACACAAAATGCCTAGTACACTGAGTGAATTGTTTTCATCTAGAAACTTGTGAAACTGGATGCATATGTGGAAAAAATTATTTGTATTCAGTGACTATTCAGTGGGCCTAGAGTCAAAAGAAATCCCGTTCAACTGTACATAATTCAGATGTCTAGTTTACTTTACATCAAAGTTGTTTGATCAGTCTTCAGAATGCAACACTTACAATGCTTTTGATGAGATGACCACTAAGTGTACTCCGAAACGGTATACATTTTTATAATTAAGCAGATTCTAAAAGTAGATTTTTATAGATATTAGAAAGAACCAGTTCTTAACTGAACACAGTGATTACAATTTTATGAACCTAATTTTAACACAAACTTTTGTGGTTATATTTGGTGTAAAAATAGTTCTATAAAGTCTAATGATAAGGAAATAAAAGTCATCTACTGTTCCCTCTTATAACACAATTTGAAATAATCATAACAAGATTCTGTAGATATTTGTTTAAATATCTTAAATATTTCTTCTCTTTTCATATAAACAAATTTATGAAAGTAGTTTATCTATATGAACATATATATATATTTAGTTATGATAAACACTGTACGGGAGCATACGCACAGTAACAAGAACATAAACCATGTTGCTGAGAGCTATAAAACTGTGCTATGTACAGCTAATAAACCAGATTAAGATAGTTACTAAGATGTAAAGATATTTGAGGTTTCTGATAAACCCCTTGCTCGCCTTCTATGTTGATTGCCCCGGTTTCACCTTCTCTTTTCGTATGAGTTTAGACTGTTGAGGCATCTCATCACTGGACGAAACATCTCGTAGAGTACAGTTTAATTTTCAGCCATCCTTCACCTGCTGTCAATTTATGATGAGATCTACCTTCAAATTCTATTACCTACCTTAGTGTCTACTTTGAATCAGAAGTGAATGTTATGCAAATATTCTAGTATTGATCTGTATATAAAAGGTAGCCTGTTATACACATCTGTTGGATTTTCTGCAATTTCATTGAGGTGAGATTACTGTCCTACTTTAGAGATGAGTCTCATACTTTCGAAGTGAATAATGAATATCATATTACAGTATGTTTTCAATTTTATTTTCATTTTCGTCTAAATTTATGATGAGGGAGATTATTCTCATGTTTGAATGTCCTCTACTAAAAAAACACAGTATCATTCAGATAATTCTATAAGTGTCAATAGCTATATGATTATCACTTATTAATGGCCATCATCTTCTGCTACCGGTAAGCACTAATGCCTATCATATATGACTAAAGTAATTGCGTATTTCCTGATTTTTAATTAAGACCTCAGAAAACCATCATTCAACGTTCATAGATATTCTACGATCCTCTCCATTCACTTAACGATTTTATTTTCCTTCGAGTGATTATTGTTATTTTACATTTGTCCAAATTCTCTTCTTAGGCTTATTATAATTCCTAGTTACTTGTTCATTTTACTTCATGTCTTTTACACTGGTCATTTGTTCAACACTAATCTTATTATTATTAATTATACTATTGTTTGAAGCCGCTTTTGTTCTACTTAAACGAGAAGTTGCTTTTAATATACACATGGTTAAAAAGGGCATCTTTAG